GCCCCCATTTTAACCATTTTTAAGTGTACAATTCAGTGGCATTAATTACATTCACAATGTTGTGCAACCTATTTCCAAAACCTATCTATTTCCAAAATCTTTTTCATCACTGCAAACGGAAACGTGGAACCCATTAAGCAGTCACTCCCCATTCCCTTCTCCTCCAGCCCCTGGTAACTTTTGATCTACTTTATGTGTCTATAAATTTGCCTATTCTAGATGCCTCATAAAAGTGGAATAATACAATATTTGTCCTTTTGTGTCTGGCTTATTTCACTTAATGTTTTCAAGGTTCATCCATGTTGTAGCATATATCAGAACGTCATTCCTTGTTTTAAAAATTGTGGTAAAATATTTGTAACATAGAAGTTACCAGGTTAAGCATTTTTAAGTGTACACTTCAGGGGTGTTAATTTACATTCACATTGTTGTGCACCAATCACCACCATCCATCTCCAGAACGTTTTCATCTTCCCAAACTGAGTAAATACACTTTTAATTCTTAGCTATTTCTTCTGGAGCTTTCATTAAAAACATATGCTTTTACTGCTGTTTCTTGATATACTCATTTTAGACATTATACATGTGCATCCTGCTATGATACTTGCTTAGTTTCTAGCCCCATTTCCCTTACCTTTTTTCCCCACATACTTAATGCAATAAATTATTGTAAATAATATTTCCTACACATGATATAATTACGTTTCCTTTCTTGTCAACCGTTTGCTTTTTTTAATTGAAATATATTTGGAGCCAGCCCTGATGGCCCAGTGGTTCAAGTTCGGTGTGCTCCGCTTTGGCAGCCCAGGTTTGGTTCCTGGGCATGGAACCACACCACTTGTCTGTCAGTAGCCATGCTATGGCAGCGGCTTACATGAAAGAACTAGAAGGACCTACAACTAGAACATACAGCTATGTACTGGGGCTTTGGGGAAGAGGCAAAAAAAAAAAAAGAGGGAAATATATTTGACATATAATGTTGTGTAAATTTAAGGTGTATATGTTGACTTGATACATTTATATATTGAATGCCATTGTCACTGTTTGCTTTTCTTGAATTTTCTAATTGTCTTTCTTTTCTCCTTGCGTTACCTGCCCTTTCTGCTTTTACTTTAAGTTGTTCCAAAGTACCAAGGATGGCATCAAATCTCAAATCCCCATTTTTTTCCTGGGAAACCTCCCTCCTTGAGCCCTCAGTCCTCTCTCTCCGAATTGGATGGGGCCTCAGCTCTCACCCAGGGTTTTCCCTTCCTGCTCTCCTGGGTTGTGTCCTAGATTCAGTGTCTTCCTATTTTTTAGTCGAGATGGGTCATATCGATGGCTTGTGGCATTGGACTGTAAGTACTAGATGTCTTCATCCCCACCTTTGGAATATTCCTGCGATTAGGCAGAATGGCAGACACTGTTTGCTAAATAAGCTTGGTCACTGGAGATAACAAGCAAGACCTACCAGGTCTCTGTTGGCAGCAGCCCACCGTCTGTCTTGGAACCACTCCTTGCTTGGCTCTCCTGCCTGCCCTAGCACACACTGAGCCTCTTCTTTTTGTTCAGAAATGTTCTCATTGCTGATCAAGCTAGTGCTTTTTTAGTCTATATTTTCTGGCCCTATCCTTGCTGTTTTTCACCTGGAATACTTTCTGGCTTTTAATGTGACCTACTGATTTCGCCTGAATAATTATATGCTTATTTTATAACATTGAGTTCTAGAGGTGCCTCACTGCACTCATTGTGGTGAATAATGTAGAAATGGAGTAAGGAAAAATATATCCTCATAAATAAGTCTCTTTTTAAACAGAGAATCAACTTTACCTAAAGAGAAACTACAAAGCATTTCACCTGGACCAAAAAATACTTTTGTTTATTCAGGTACTATGGTGTAAATCGCTTCTCTTGGCACTCTGGATGGAGACTTTAATCAGATTGAAACAAACTTTCAAGACTAAAACTATTCCATCATAAGTGGCTGATGTCAAGTTGTTTTTCCTGCCAATCATTATAAAAATACAAAGATGCTCTTGCTTTCAATTTTTTTTATTGCCCACCAAATTGTAAATGTTTGTTCAAGAATCTAGATAATTATGAGAAGTTATAAAACATACAGGAGATAATTACAATTCATAAATTTTACTTGTCAACAACAGAGTCTTTAAGGGAGAGAGAAACTTTAAGGGAGAGCATCTGAACTTGAAGGAGAGCTCAAGTTTCTTGCATAAAGCTCAGCCTATGTTGAAGTGTTTAGGGGTGAAGTCTAGTGATGTCTGCAACTTACTATGAAATACATTAAAGAAAATAAGGTGGATAAATGCTGGATAGAGGGACGAATAGATGGATTGACATGTGATAAAACAAATATAGCAAAATTACAGAATCTAGGTTAATTGTAGAATCTAAGTGATGGGCATATGAGTTTACCATAAAATTCTTTCAACTCTTGAATGACTGAAAAATTTTATAATAAAATGTTGGAGGGAAGCTCTGCTATTTGTTCCTTAAATTATAAAGACATGCTAGGTGCCTTCACATTTTATCTCAGTCGACTCTGAAGTTGACATTAGCCCCATCTTACAAGTTAGACAACTAAGGCTCAGAAATGCTGAATAGTGTGCTTAAGGCCACACAGTTAGTGGGGACTGAGCTGAACCTGGAACCCAGGTCTACCAATTCAGGAGAGGCTATGTGGTAAAGCAAAAATAAC